AGCAGGAGTGAGAATGTTATTTGTTAGCTGTGGAGATGACACAGGCAAGGGCTGGGAGATAATGCTTGTGTTGTGACTGAGAAAACCCAGCAAGTGGTACTTGAACCACTTCTTTGGACAGCCGGGAGAAAGGGGATGACATAACAGTTAGCTATTGGCAGCGAGTTGGACATCTCTGTGTGTCTGTGTGTACTCTCAGTATCCGGACAGACCAGAGAACATTCTGGGATCTGTTTGGTACATTCACTCACTCTGTGTTCTGGGCTGGTATGAGTCTGTAGTCTTGATTTCAGCAAAATCATTATGTTCCTTTGCTTGGTATATCTTTTCCTACCTTGTTCTCCCCCTGTACTTTAAGGAACTCTAGCCAGGTTAAGAGAACAGCTTGTAAAGTGGTGCCCCCTGGGCCTTTTTTTTCCTGCAGAGAGCAGCCTCTTGGGCAAGGACAGCCCCCCCACCCCTACCATGTACAAGTACCGGCCGGGCTACAGTAGCAGCAGTACATCAGCCGCCATGCCTCATTCTTCCAGCGCCAAGGTACTGAGTACTCTCTAAGAAGCAGGGTTGTCATGTATGCCAGCTGTTCTGGGAAAAAGAAGATTGGGAGAAGGGGAGGAAGAAGCAGAGGGAAGAGAAGAAAACCAAAGGCATTTTACTAATTGTTGGCTTAGTAATAACGTTGACAGTTTGTCCTTCATCCAAGAGAGGTCACGGTAGCATAATAGATAAAAGCATTGATTACAGCATCAGATCTGAGTTCAAAACCCAGTTGTGCCATCACAGAGAAGTTCCTTAACCTCTCTAAGCCCCATTTCCTGCATCTTAAAATGAGATATTATTTGTCCCTACTTACAGATTTACTTTAGGGGTTAAACAGGATAATGCCCATGTGAAAATTCCTAAGCATATTGCTGGCACATAGCAAATACTGTTTTTGACTGCCACCTTGGGCTCTGGGGCCTAGTGTCCCAAGAGGGGACAAGAGGGGGAGCACTAAGAACCTGCTTTGCTTTTCTCCCTCAGTTGAGTCGTGGGGACAGCTTGAAGGAGCCAACCTCAATTGCGGAGAGCAGCCGTCATCCCAGCTACCGTTCAGAGCCGAGCTTGGAGCCAGAGAGCTTCCGTTCTCCCACCTTTGGCAAAAGTTTTCACTTTGATCCACTGTCCAGTGGCTCACGCTCCTCCAGCCTCAAGTCAGCCCAGGGCACAGGCTTTGAGCTGGGCCAGTTGCAGTCCATTCGTTCAGAGGGCACAACCTCCACCTCCTATAAGAGCTTGGCCAACCAGACACGTAATGGAAGCCTATCTTACGACAGTCTGCTCACTCCTTCAGACAGCCCTGATTTTGAGTCCGTGCAGGCAGGGCCTGAGCCAGACCCACCTTTAGGCTACACCTCTCCCTTCCTGTCAGCCCGGCTGGCCCAGCAGCGGGAAGCCGAGAGGCACCCACGTTTGGTGCCAACCGGCCCAACGCACCGAGAGCCCTCACCAGTCCGGTACGACAATCTGTCGCGCCATATTGTGGCCTCCCTCCAGGAACGAGAGAAGCTGCTACGCCAGTCACCCCCACTCCCAGGCCATGAGGAAGAACCAGGCTTGGGGGACTCAGGCATCCAGTCAACACCAGGCTCAGGCCATGCCCCTCGTACTAGTTCCTCCTCAGATGATTCGAAGAGATCACCCTTGGGCAAGACTCCACTGGGACGCCCAGCTGTCCCCCGTTTTGGCAAGCCAGATGGGCTAAGGGGCCGGGGACTAGGGTCCCCTGAACCAGGCCCAACTGCCCCCTACGTGGGCCGATCTATGTCTTACAGCAGCCAAAAAGCCCCATCTGGTGTCTCTGAGACAGAGGAAGTGGCCTTGCAGCCATTACTGACACCCAAGTAAGTATTAGTCCATCCTGGCCCCCAATGGACTTAAAAGTAGTGTAGTGCCCTGCAGAAGGTATCAGGGCTTCACCTGTACATTTTAGTGCAAGTGGACCCAGGGTTATCCTGCTTGTAAGATAGCCCTTCATTTTCACTCTTACTCCAGCTGCCTTCATGGGCTATTCCTGTTAAGAGACTGAGGATTAATACTTTTTTCTTAGTCCTGTCTTCCTAAAAAGTAATTTATTTGCCTGAGAGTGAAAGGAATAAGTAGAGGAGAGAGGGAATCAGGCTGCTTGTAAGCAGGGCAGTACAATAAGAGGGGATCTTTGTGTAAGAAAGTATATATGTGGAAAGCCCATTTTTTTCTCTTAACGTTTTAAACCACCTCCCTTTTCAGTGCTGTGTGTCCCATTTCTGACGCCTCTCTCTTCTTTTCTTCCCAGAGATGAAGTACAGCTCAAGACGGCCTACAGCAAAACCAACGGGCAGCCCAAGAATATAGGCTCAGCCTCCCCTGGCCCAGGCCAGCCACCTCTCAGTAGCCCCACAAGGGGAGGAGTCAAGAAGGTGTCAGGGGTGGGTGGCACCACCTATGAGATTTCGGTGTGAGCTTTGGGCAGCTCCCCTCCCCCACACCTCTGCGCCTACACCAAAGGGCCCCAGGTGGCCACCTTCCTTTCCTCAAGGGGCTCCCCTCCCCTGCATGGACATTTTTTAAACAACCGATTCCAAGAGGATGAGGACATTTTATAAAATGCAGTGGGGTCGGGGATTTGGAGAGTTGGGGCCCTGAGACTGGGGTAGCAACCCCCTTCACCTTTTAAGACCTTCCCCTTCCTTAACCCTTGGACCAGACTCAGTGGACATTTGTGCAATTGCTCGCCTGGAGGGAACCAGATCATTTTTAAACCAGAAATAATTTTTTTTATTATTGTTACGGATTCTATTTTTTTCCTCTTCTGCGTTACCAGGTGTGTGTGTACATTATATATATATATATATATATATATATATATATATATATATAAAATAAATATCAAAGAAATTATATATCTATCCTGGGATGGGAAAATGAGGGAGGGATATGTATAAGGAGGGGGATTTTACTCTTCCTATTCCTCAGACCAGCAGGAAAAGAGGGGAGACATAGATCGATTGAAGTCTTCCTTTCCCCCGTTGTTCCCTCTCTGTCCCAGTTACCATCTAAGGAAATAGCACCCCCTGTTGTTGGTGCTAAGTGACCAGGAAAGAAACCCAGGGAGAGGCGCGTCTGGGTGGGGTTTTGGTCAGAGGAGGGAAGGACCTGGCGAGGAGAGTTTGTTTTCTGGGCTCACTGGCACTTAGTTTCCCCCAGGGAAGGGGTCGCAGCCCCATGACTTTGGTGGTGGTGGTGGGGAGATCAGGACAGGAGCTTGGCTGAGCTCCAGAAACAATACTGGATAATCCCCCCTTCTTGGGGGAGAGGGATTATGGTGGGCTTCTTCAACTGGCCCCTCAAAGCCTTCCCCCAACTCACACGGTTGACATTATTTTTAAATTCAAGGCCGGGAGAGAAGAATCCAAAAAGCAATATTTCTCATCACATGCCAAAAAACGGGATAGAGAGAAGGAGTGGCAGGCCTAGGCCCCTCCAGTTGTCCCTTGGGGGTTACCCCTCAGCCCACCTCAGTATGGTGCTGGGTAGAGGGGATACCTGGGTTCTAACCTTTAAGTAGGGGAGACCCCAGCCTCTAAACAGAAGCCCTTTTATTTTTTATTCTGATTAGCCATTTTAAACCAACAAGGAATAAAAAGAAATCCTGATCTAACCAGCTCCCCCCTGACTTGTGTTATTTTGTGTGGTTAAGGCAGGGTGAATGACCTCTGATGGGAAGTTAGTTGCAAGGAAAACCGCGTGAGCGTCTCTGGTCCTGGTCCAACTTTAAGCAGGACTATAGTGAAAATAACCACTTAAAACAAGAGGTCCTGTTTTTATTTCAGTGATTTAGATGTTTCAGAAAAAGGTCTTTTGGAACCACCAAACCTTGTCATTTCAAAGCTTAGAGAGCTCCTGACTTTTGCCACAGTTGTTCCTTAATACAGAATTTTGTCTCTGGAAAATAAAGCTCCTTTTGGATGTAGTCAGAGGTGAGCCAGTGGATGATCACAGTATGAAAGCCTGTTAAAGGCAGATAGGCTAGAGGGATATATGGGTGGCAGTCTGACATCTCATATTGTCTCTTCCGTTGGTCGAAAGCAAAAGGCTGTGCCCTAATTTTAAAAAGACACCATCAGATACTAAATTTCAGAAAACTGGCCAGAACCCTTTATTTTCACTGTCCGTAACTTAAGTATATAAACTCTTGCTCTGAAATCCTAGTTAAAACGAGCTGAATGAGTGGTTTTCCACCTGCTGATCTAGGTGAACAGTCTTGGCTCATTGCAGCAGGTTGTAACTGTTCTGTGTCAAACTGAGCTTAAAGTCAGACTACATTAGCTTGTTTTCTCATGGATGTTTCTGGTTATCTGGCCTGCTGCAAAGACTGAAGGGATTTATTTTACATTCTGCTAGTTTAGGCTACCTTTTTTTTTGGCTGTCTTAGAAATGTTTTCACATCGTCCAAGTAATTTCATTGTCTTAAGGAATGAGGTCAAAAGTCCTTATTATAAAGAGAAGCAATTTACCTTTGCTTGCCAGAGGTTTATTTCAAGAAGTGATAGGCTTGACCAAGAAGCAACCTTGCTGAAATATGTTGGTGACTGTGGGTGCTTTTTCCGTTGGCTACTCTCTTTCAACACAAAACTGACCCAGAACACAGCTGAGACCTAAGTGAATCCGCTCCTTGAGACAGAGCCTGAAGATCATCCAGGTTACTGGTTCTCAATGTTACAGGCACAGTGTTATGTGTCTGCTGTGGAAAGGTATTAGCAAGCTCTGCCTCCCCTTTGGACCATGTTCCCCAATCTCATTTTGATTGTTTCCCTGCCTGCTGATGAGATAATGTAATACAAGACCCAAATCCCCTCAGATCTTAGCATGCCTTGGCTTAAACCCTGACTCTCATAGAAAGGCACTTACCTCTTAACAGGCAGCCACACTTCAGCCAGTTTGATAAATGCCATTTTAAGAAAATAAAAATCCTAAAAAATCAGATAAAGTCCTAAATCAGACAAATGGCACAAAAGAGATGAAAAGAAAGCTTCCTGGGAGAGGAAGAGATGTCCATGAGAAAGCAAACTAGGCTGAGGCTTACAAAAGCAGAGCCCTTCTCTCTTACAGTGTGTTCATCTTAACTGAGCACAGCAGGAGCTGGCTTCTGTCCCAGCAGCAGGGGATGCTCCCAAGGCGGTGGCCAAGAGCCTGCAAGGCAGCTTTGTCAGCGGGTTCAGTACAGCAGGAAGGTCCTCCTGGCAGAGTCCCCTGGTCCTGCTAGCGGAGGCTGCTGCTGCTGCTGGCCTGAGAGCTGCCCACGCCTGGGTGGTCGGGGCTGTGCCGGTTCTGGGGAAGAAAAGTGAGCAAGAGTAAGAGAGCCAGACTCCACCTAGGATGAGTGAGATGGGAAAACTCACCGGGCTGCAGACACCGGCCGCTCCCATACCTTCTTTTTCTTCTTCTCTTTCTTCTTCCGTTTCCGTTCAGGATCCTCTTCTTTTTTCTTTTTCTTCTTCTTGTGATCTGAATCAGACGGTGTTTCTGTAGGAGAGATGAGGAGCCTATCACCTGTCGAGCTCAAAATTCTCCACCGCCGTAAGTGTGAAGACTAGAGGAAAACCCCTAGTCAAGGGCAACCGCTTTTCTTCAAATGACCAGAAAGGATCTGGAGGCACTGCTTAAGCTCCTGTCCCAAGGTCCTACTTGCCCAGGAGACCCACATTATGTCAATTTCTTCTTTAAGGAGAATCTGGGAGTCCAGGGCTCATAAGGAATTTGACTGGGTTTTTAACTGAGGAAGGTCAAAACAGATTCAGAACGTCCGGTTTTCTGCCTTTGAAGAGAACCACTTCTTACCTGGGGGGACTGGATCCTGGGTACGGCTCTGTTTGTGCTTCTGCTTATTCTTCTTCTTGGGAGGCTGAATATGCATCAGACGACACTGCTCTGGCAACTGAAGGAACCAAAGGAAGGTCCAGGTGAGTAGAGGGAGGGACTCCCCTGCTCCCATCATCTGTTCTGCTCAGTAAGTTATGAAGGAACAGAGGTAGACAGAAAAACCACCCCCGTGCCTTTCAGGCCTCCCCATGAGGGGACTCACCGGGCCTGTGTGGAGGCGGAAGCCAGCCAGCATGGTCCCTGTGATAGGATTAAAAGAGCCACCAAGAATAGGGGGCTTCTCAATGAGGGAGCGGAGGCTGCTGTTGTCATGGGAACCAGGCAGATCAATCATCCCTGGCAGGTCAGGCAGGAAGTTACTTAGCTTCTCCTTCACTTTCTTCCCACAGAATTTATTATAGGCATGTTCCAGGTTGTAGTGTGTGATCAGATTAGTGCTGCCTGTCAGCTCTGTGCTGCCTAGAAGATACAGGGAGAATAATAAGAAGAAAAATTAGTACCAAGAGGAGAGAATTTTTTTTTAAGTCATTGACCCAGAAGGGAAAGTAAATTAATCTTTTAAGTGAGAATTACCAAAAAAATAATAATAATTTAAAAAGTTATTTTTAAAGTAAGAAAGAACAAAAGTAGGGCTTCCCTGGTGGCGCAGTGGTTAAGAATCCGCCTGCTAATGAGCAGGAGACACGGGTTCGATCCCTGGTCCAGGAAGATCCCACATGCTGCGGAGCAACTAAACCCATGCACCACAACTACTGAGCCTGCGTGCCACAACGACTGAAGCCCACGCGCCTACAGCCCGTGCTCCGCGACAAGCCACTGCAATGAGAAGCCCGCGCACCGCAACGAAGAGTAGTCCCGCTCACCACAACTAGAGAAAAGCCCACGTGCAGCAATGAAGACCCAACACAGCCAAAAATAAATAAATAACTTTATTTAAAAAGAAATAGCAAAAGTAAATAACATACAATAAACACTAAAAATATAATACTATAGAATGGTAGGTTGGAATGAGAAGGAGAAAAAATAGGCAAAAATCCAAATAGGGCAGCAGTGGAAACTGCTTTAACCCAATGAAGGATACACTCGGACTAACCAGAGTAATAACTTACATGATGCTTATACTCTGTGCTAAGCACTGTGTACTGTTCTGTGTTTCATAAATGTACTAATGAGAAATTATACTTTTGGCCATGACCAGAATAATACAACCTCACAGCTCAGCTACAACAGAACTTAGGGTCAAATATGACCCAGTGGCTTGAGTGTCTTGCTTCCTTTTTTTTTTTTTTTAAACTAGCAAGAAACACTAATCACCTTTAAAACAGGAGATTTTTCTAGCTACTGCTACATAACTGTTGTTACCACCATCTTTAGTCTTCCTAATAATACCAAATATGATAGCTTTGCCTAGAAGAAAGAAATGTTTGATTAGAAGCTGGGCAACTAGACTTCTAATCCTAGCCGTCCTCTATGTCTCAGTTTCTGCTTATCTATGGAATGGAGTAAAAGCTACCTTAATTACACAATTTTTTTTAAGGTTCAAATGAAATATTGAAAAGTATAAAGTAGTATATAAATGGAAGGCTTTATTAGTATAAATATTTCACGGCTGGCTTTTTTGAAAGAATACAAACTTATGAGTAATTTAACTAGGGTCCAGTGGCGAGGGTAGAAATATCTAGCCTACAATTTCATGTATAGTTATGATGAACACTCAGGGAACAAATGACAAAAGTGACTTGTTTATAATCATTCACTTGATAAAATTCAGGTTCTGAGCTATGAGCCCACTGAGGGCAGAGAAAATGCCTTGTTCATTCATGTACCACTGGTGCTCAGCACACATTAAGTGAACAATGTATTTTTCCTCCCCACCTTCAGGCCTTAACGTTATTCTTTTCCTTTGTCTTCCCAAGCCAAATATCTCAGAAGAGTGGCCCACGGTAATGGAAGGAGACTCAGTGCCCCCATACTTCTCATAACTCAGCACTGCTTCCTGCCGTTAAGAGTATCCTGATTTTTTTCCTCTCTGTCAGTTCTCCTTCCAGATGATTATTCTCAAGGCTCAGGTGAAAAGGCACTCTGTGCTTTTTTGTAAATTCTTTAAGAGTCCATCCAACTTTCTGTTTTGCCCATCAGTTCTATGAAGATGACTTCTCCCTTCTTCAGTTTCCTCTCCTGACAACTAATCTTCCATTTCCAACATTGTCTTAGTTAATTCACTGCAGATTTAATTTTTTTTTAACTCCAAATCTTCCCCACCTCACTCATGGTTCCTTTATTCTAGTACATGGCACCCACATTCTCCAGATATCTTTAGAAGCAGTACTCAGGTTCAAATATCTCAATGGTTTCCTATTCCTTCAGGAAAAAGCTCAAATTCTTTTGACTGTCACTCACTGTTAAACACATCTTACTGTAACTTAGCTTTGGGGCCTGACCAACTGCTACCCCCCTATGTAAAATTTCTGATCCATCCAAACGGGTATCCATCATCTCCTGAAAAAATTACCCCTCGTATTGTTTCCTTTTAGAAAATTTCTTTTAGAAAAATTGACCTAATTATAGGAAAATTCTTCCTAATTTTTCTCACCAGTATGAATTCTTCAAAGTCCAGCTAAAGTGACAACTTATTCTTGCTGTCATGTTGTACAACAAGAAACACATTTTGAAAACCATTATGCAGTTCTTAGTAGTTGTATGTGAGGCATGACCAGAAAATAATGACATTGATCCTGACAAGAAATAACAGTCACTACTTTATCTTTAAACGACATACTTTTCATTCTTAAGCAAAATTAGCTGCTTAAAAGCAAGGACCAGGCTTACTGATCTCTCTCCCCTTCTCATCACATGCTCCCTTTTTACACACCCAGTGTTTGCCCAGAACGGATAGTCAATATCTATCAAGTGATTGATGTAAATAGGTACCATCAGAACAGGTTAAGGTTAAAGAAACTGCTGGTAGACATCAACCACTAATTAACTAAAGTCAAGTCAACCTCGCTATGCTTCAGTTTTTTTTTTTTTAAGATTTAAAAAATATTTATTTATTTATTTGGCTGCGTCGGGTCTTAGTTGCGGCAGGCGGGATCTTCGTTGAGGTGCGCGGGGCCTCAGTAATTGCGGCGCATGGGCTTAGTTCCCCTGCAGCATGTGGGATCTTAGTTCCCCGACCAGGGATTGAACCTGCATCCCCTGCATTGGAAGGCGGATTCTTAACTACTGGACCAGCAGGGAAGTCCTTGCTTCGGCTTTTTCAACTATAAAATGCAGATAACAATGCCTATCTCAAGGAACTATTTAAGTATTAAATACTATAATATAAATAACTGCACTGTGAACCTCAAAGTCTGTAACAATATTCATTATTATTTCCCTCAGCTCTTGATGTAGCAGTAGGACTTGGGATGAACTAAAAGGCATCCTGGAGACTTAACACATCCAGAATGACTCTTGAGGATCTCCCTGGTGGTCCCGTGGTTAAGAATCCGCCTGCCAATGCAGGGGACATGGGTTCGAGCCCTGGTCCAGGAAGATCCCACATCCTGCGAGCCACAACTACTGAGCCCGCGAGCCACAACTACTGAGCCCGCGAGCCACAACTACTGAGCCCGCGAGCCACAACTACTGAAGCCCACGCACCTAGAGCCCGTGCTCCGCAACAAGAGAAACCACCGCAACGAAGAGTAGCCCTCGCTCGCCGCAACAGAGAAAGCCCGCGCGCAGCAACGAACACCCAACGCAGCCAAAAATAAATAAAATAAATAAATTTATTTAAAAAAAATTCTAATCACTTTCAACAGATGAGGAAACGCCGAGGCCCAGATAAGGAAGGAAGGCAACACGCCCCAAACCAACAGGAAGTTTGAGGCAGATTTGAAACTAAATTCGCAAGGATATTAAATCTGAACTCTCAAGTTGCAAACTCAAACTCTGGATAATTTTTAGGGAGCCATAAACCACTGTCAGGGACAGGGGCACGACAGAGCGTGAAAGGTGGTCACGGATATCCACTTTTCTCATTCCCAATCCATCCCAAGAATTCATGTCATCCCTTTGCTTGTGAATCCTCAGAGTCTCAGACTCCTCTCCGATATACAGCTCTGGAATCCCCACACGCGTTGCCTACTTTATCCCTCACCTCCGCCAGCCGGCTGAGAGGCACGCCCATTCCCTCCTCGTTACGATCTGACTGGCTAGCTTTGGCCAGGCCTCGAACTCACCTGGCAGTTCCCGCATTAGGTAGAAGGGACCACAACCTGCCGCTGACTTGTCAGCGCCGGAAGGGGCTGAGGCCGCGGTTGGGGGCGGGGCGGGGCCGGGCCCTCCACCCGGAGGAGGAGGCGGTGGGGGTGGAGGTTTTCCAGCTCCGAAGCCGAGTGCAGTTGGGGGCGGCGGTGGGTCAGCCTGAGCCCCGAACAGCGCCGTGAAATTCTCCATCGCCCCTTCTGCCCCGGCGCTGTCCCGGTGTCTGGCGTTAATGACTTTCATTGGTCAATCTTTTCCCGGGGTACCGCCCCCTTCCTCCAGGAGCCTCTTACCATTGGATTGCCTCGGGCCCTGCCTACCCTCTTCCGGTAAGTACTTCCGGCACCTTCTGAGAACTTTCCGGAAGTATTACCTACCTTTATTAAATTCTCCTCCTACCTCCGTTCGCCACAGTCGTATATTCAATAATATGACACATAGAAAAAGCGACAGCTAGGTTAGCCAATAAAGTATCAAATCCCCTTCTCAGTTTTTACCTGCCGTAGAGGCCAATCAGATATCTAATTCCGGGTCCAGAGGCGGTGCATCCGACACTGGGCCCAATGGAAGCCTCAATGG